ACGGGGCCCTTCCTCTCCCTGGTCTCCAGCAGACCAGGGAGAGGAAGCAAAGCGGCGGAACACACGGGCAGCGGACAGCCCAGATGCATCTGGGCTGTCAGCTGGCCACGTGCTCCGCGGCTTTGCTCTGTTCTGCTCCCCATCCCCCTGGTCTGCAGACCAGGGGGATGGGGAGCAGAACAGAGCAAAGCCGCGGAGCACGTGGCCAGCTGACAGCCCAGATGCATCTGGGCTGTCCGCTGCCCGTGTGTTCCGCCGCTTTGCTTCCTCTCCCTGGTCTGCTGGAGACCAGGGAGAGGAAGGGCCCCGTTCGTAACTGCGGATCCGACGTAAGTCAGATCCGCGTAACTCAGGGACTGCCTGTATATTAAGATTATCACACAAAATGATAATCTTCGGAAAATTGTTAAGTAATGTTTGCTGAAGACTTGCTGTTAAATTCTGCGAGTACTTCATTTGCAGAGAGCAAGCTTCCTAACCTCACTGAGTCTCTACTTCATTCTGAAGCAGAAACACAGACCTTAACTTCTGGATGATACATAATGGATTCTTCTGCTGTTGCAAATGCCCTTTGATCTGTGGAACATATGCTGGGCTAGTAGCCAGAAAACAATGAATTTTACCAATTCTACTAAGTGATGTAAACAATGTTGTACACTACACAACTGTTATTATTAAACAAGGCTTAATAACTCTACTCTAGGAGCAGGGTAAATTATCGGCCCTTCCCATTTTACAGGGAGGCTGTACAAAGTTACATCTTGTAGTTACTGGGAACAGGACCAAATCTCAAATACAGAAGATTCAAGGTGTATCCATTTAGCTTCGCTATTGCTACAAAAGAATCTGCCAGATTTATGTGCTGTGGTATGCAATTTATAAATTGGGCTTCTCCTTCATATGCTAAAGCACTGGCTTAGCAGGAGCTGAAGAACCAGGGGGAGTGGGGGCCAACACGTCCAGTTTGTGGTAGATCAAACTGACACTGGAGCCCTGAAACTTGGCAGAGGTGCTGGCGGTTTGGTGCCAATGCACAAGCCTTGTTGTATATGATTCCTGTGCCTAAGGGGGTTGAGGCCAACAGCCAAGGTGTTGATCTCAAATAGAGCCAGTGCCAAAGAAGGACTGACAAAGCATACCTATAGCTCCAATGATTGAGTGCTTTTAAATGGTTCTGAGATTCTCATAAGGCAGAGCATGCAAATTCTATGGGATTTGCAGAAGTTTCATGAAATACATTTTTCTTTGAAAGATCCCATCCTTTAAAATGAAATAGCTTGAAGATTATCTCCATCGTTAAGTCTGTAAGAAATTATGTAGTATCTTCCAAATACAATGATAATAGCTTAAAAAAAATCCTGACCACCATGTGAAAAAAGAGAAAGGAGAGAATTTTCTTAGACAGCTTAGCTGGACAAAGTGGATGTGGCAAAATCTTATTCTGACCAGCCCAAATACTTAGCAATAATTTTAGCTCATTAAACATGGTTTGTTAACATAATGAGAAACGGAATAGCCAGGCCATAACAAAACACAGCCACCTTCCCCCCACCCCCATAGCTGTACTGGGAGACCCAAATCATCATTTCACTCTCACCAGGAAGAAAGAATATCCAGTCTTGATCTCGTAAACCTTCGGTCTGCAGACAAATCTTAGAAGGGACTGATCCAAAACTGACTGACTTCAATGGGGTTTGGATCCAGCTTTACATCCCAAACAACTGAGCCAGAAAGATGGGGGAGTGCTTGTGTTCATGCAGGATGGGAAATATACTTTTGCTGATGTTCGGCTCCATGGTGCGATCATATCTTACTATATAACATCTGTTCTCTGACTTCTATTACCTTCTGTCCTGGAACAAGGCTCTTAGAAGACAGAATTGTGAATCCATCCCCAGGTCCATCCTCAGATGTTGAATTTGAGGCCCCGTCTTTTTCATTTTCCTTCTGCTTGCTCTATTGGGGGAAGGGAAGGGAAGGCAAATGAAGCAATAACATTCAGGAAAAAGGAGTCTGATTACAATCTTACAAAAGTTAAAAGTAATTTTTCATCTCAACTTTATAGGCTGAAGACCATACTATAGCTTTCTACTAGCCAAAAGTTATGTAGTAGAACAGTTCGCTACTATTTACTAAACAAAGTAAAGGTAGAGCACAGTGGAGGTTAGTAGTATGTACATATATCCGAAGTGTGAGGATTTTTGTTTTTATTTTATTTATGCTGCATTAAAGTATTCAAACTAATAACACAGCTAAATGCTCTAATTTACTTGGAAAAACAAACTGTTAGCAAACACTAGTCCTTGAAAATAAATCATACTCCAATGGCACCTATATCACATAATTATTTACCTCACAACCACTTGGATAACCTAAATGAAAAGTTACTCACCAGTAATTGTAGTTTTTCAAGAGTGTTACACCTGCGAATTCACACCCATGGGATTTACCCCTTGGTGCAACCTAGCTTCAGAAGTCTTCTAGGAAAAAAGACTGCAAAAAGTCCCATTGGGACTGCATGAATGCGCCTCACAGCTCAGAACATTCAGATCCAAGGATGTAAAGAAACCAACCTCTCCTGCTAAATCCCAGAGTTTTGAGAACGTAGAATTCAAAGTAAGAGTGATGTGACTATGTAGAGGTAATATTCTGAGAGACCTACAATTATTATTAGGTAATTTTACTTTCTTTTTAGAAGTGATCTCTGAATGTTCCCAGCTCTGGCGGTATGTCAAGCAGAACAAACCCAGAAATGGGCTGAACAGTCCTAATTCACAGAATCATAGACTACTAGACCTGAAAAGGACCTCAAGAGGTTATCAAGTCTAGTCCCTTCCCCTCATGGAAGGATTAAGCATCTTCTATCATTCCTGATAGATGATAATCCAACCTGCTCTTAAATATCTCCAGTGATGGAGATTCCACAAACTCCCTAAGCAATTTATTCCACTGTTTAACCACCCGGACAGAAAGATTTTTCTAATGTACAACCTAAACCTCCTTTGCTGAAATAAGACCATTGTTTCTTGTCCTATCAGAGGCCAAGGAGAACAATTTTTAGATACTTGAAAACTGCTATCATGTCCCTTCTCAGTCTCAGCCTCCCCTTTGTAAACTAAACAAACCCAATTCTTTCAGTTTTCCCTCATTAGGTCATGTTTTCTAGACTTGTAATCACTTTTGTTGCTCTTCTCTGGACCTTCTCCAATTTCTCCACATCTTTCTTGAAATGTGGTACCCAGAACTGGACATAATACTCCAGCTGTGGTCTACTCAGTGCAGAGTAGAGCAGAAGAATGACTTCTCATGTCTTGTTCACAACATTCATATTGATGCATCCCAGAATCTTGTTTACTTTTTTTGTAACAGTGTTACACTGTTGACTCATATTTAGGTTGTAGTCCACTATGAGTCCTTTCTGCAGTACTCCTTCCTAGGCAGTTGCTTCCCATTCTGTATGTGTGAAATGGATTGCTCCTTCGTAAGTGGAGTACTTTGCATTTGTCCTTATTAAACTTCATCCTGTTTACCTCAGACCATTTCTTCAGTTTGTCCCGATAATACTGAATTTTTACCCTATCTGCCAAAGTAGTTGCAACCCCTCCCAGCTTGGTATCATCTGCAAACTTAATAATTGTACTCTCTATGCCATCACCTAAATGGTTGATGAAGATATTGAACAGAACCGATCCTAAAACAGAATCCTGCAGAACCCCGCTTCTTATGCCCTTCCAGCACAACTGTGAATTATTAATAACTACTCTCTGAGAACGGTTATCTAGCCAGTTATGCACCCACCTTATAATAGCCCCTTCTAGATTGTATTTCCCTAGTTTATTGATAAAAAGATCAAATGCTTTACTAAAGTCTAGGTATACCACATCTATGGCTTCTTTCTTATCCACAAGATTTTTTATCCTATCAAAGAAAGCTATCAGATGGGTTGGACATGATTTGTTCTTTACAAATCCATGTTGGCTGTTACCTATTATCTTATTATCTTCCAGATGTTTGCAGATGAATTCCTTAATTATTTGCACCATTATCTTCCCTAGCATAGAAGTTAAGATGACTGGTCTGTAATTTCCTGGATTGTTCTTATTTACTTTTTATAGATGTGCACTATATTTGCCCCTTTCCAGTCTTCTGGAATCTCTCTTGATTTCCATGACTTTTCAAAGATGATACCTAAAGGCTCAGATGCCTCCTCTATCAGCTCCTTGAGTATTCTAGGATGCATTTCATCAGGTCCTGGTGACTTGAAGACATCTAACTTTGCTAAGTAAAACTAAACAAGGATTGCAAAATAAGCCTTGGATCTAAGGGTATGTCTAGACTGGTGAGTTGAAAAACTTCGCCATGTCCAGGGAACGCATTTGTTCTTCTGCTATTTTTGCGGAAGAGCAAATGCGCTCTTTCGGGGAGCTCTATATACCTTTTTCTAAGAGGAATAAGGGCTCCTCAAAAGAGGAGGCTTTTTTGCCATTTGGCCCCGTTTAGATGGGGCCAAATGGCGGAAAAGCCTCTCCCAGAAAAGCAATTGGAAAAAGCTACGCAAATTGAGGAGCATAATTTGTGTAGCTTTTTCCAAAAAAAACCCCGATAGTGTAGACCTAGCCTAAGTGTCAAGTCAAGAAAACAATGCTGCATAAACGTGTGACCAGAACTCCAGGGAGAAGCTCTAATAATTTTCTATGAAGAAAACATTACATATGCATGAACTGATACCATTGTAGAGGAAGCTACTAGAGTCTCCAGGAAGTGTGAATGGAAGGCCTTTGTTGCATCCTTTTGCTACCCTGGACTGGATTCTGAACTTCTAAGGGTGCATCTACACTGCACTGTAATCTGGAAATAAGCTACGCAAATTGCATAGCTTATTTCAAGGTAATTTCGAAATAGCTTATTTCGAAATTTGAAATAAAGCTCTATTCTGAAACATCCCTTAACCTTCGAGGGCTATAGGAACACTGGAATAGCGCAGGCTGCTTTAAAGACATGGAATAGCTATTTCGGGATACTTCTAGTATCCCGAAATAGCTCCGCAGTGTAGACGTAGTCTAAGTGACTTGACCAAAAGGACCAAGCCAAAGCAAACCCTAGAAGTGATTGGTGAGCAAAGACCAGTAGTCTGCAAGGAGTGCTAAAAATAAGGATCTCTGGCAGCACTGCACTCTAACACATGGGTACGTTTACTGCTTCTGATAAAAAACTTTGGGTGGGGATACCAGATGACCTACAATGAAGGAAAGTTTAGCAATCAGAATCTTCAAACCATTAACTGTTCTCATAGATGGAACTGCAATTACAACTATTTTTTTCTAAAAGCATTGAAATCATGTCTTCAGCAAGAGACCAAAAGGTAAGAAGAGAAAATGGAAACTGATGTGAATATGCAGAGACTTTAGTCTAAGAGAATTACAAAGGGCTGATATAATGCATCCTCTTCAGCACTGAAAATCTTAACCAGAAATCTTGTCATGATAGTATGGCTGAAAACTACAGTTGTCAGCTAGACAGTGGTGATGGCCTGCTACTTTGTTATTTGGCTTTTTTGGAAGGAGGGTAAAAAAGGGTAGGGGATGAGGAGGTGCAAGCCCACAGACCTGAGGCGAGAAAGGGGACCTCTGCCTTGGGGCCCAGCTTTTAAATTGCTGCCAGAGCTCTGCGCAGTGTCCTCATAGTGGCACTAAGGGCTGGTGGAGGGAAGACCATGAGGCGCTGAGGGCTGGCTACCCCCCATCCCGTCCTTGCTGGGAGTACAGAGCCACCTCCCCCTACCTTCCTTTAGAACCAGCATTTTTGTCATCTTCCCTGAGGAGGTGTATTTTACATGTTAGAGCAGCAGCGGGCAGTCTGTGCTGCTTCCCACCACTAACTCTGGCAAACCGCCACCATCTGATTGCCTACCTGTTCTAGAACATCCTAACCACAAAGCTGTAGCAGGGTTCTAGTGACTGTTTTGATTTTTGTGCAGGTATTCTAAAAGGAAATATGAATGTAGCTGAAAAGTCTCCTTTAAACATTGTCTGCCACGATTCAGGAAGCTTATTAAAAATCTGACAGCTTATTTCTCCACTCCTACTATTTTGAGAGAAAATCCTGGATCATGTACTTCTCACTCATTATCAAACCCTACATACCTCCCATTTCCAAATGTCACAAACAAGATACCAATAAACCAATAAGCAATTGGAAGACACCTATCTAATTTCTCCTATTTCCATGTATCATTCTTTATTCATCCAGTCTCTCCTAACCTTCCAGAATACCAAACCTAGTTCCTGCTTACCTTTTTGGGTGCCCGGGCTTTGGTAGCCTTTGCTTTCTTTCCACTCTTCTTGCTCACCAAGGATTTCCTCCCTCTCTTCTCAGGAGATGGGGAAAGAATAGTTTCAGATTTGCCCTTGGCACCTCGTTTTTTGGCAAGAAGTTCAGGTTGAATTCTGGGCAGGACCCCTCCACTTGCAATGGTCACTCCTTTTAGCAACTGCAGGGAGAGGCAATGTAAAGAAGCATAACCTATCTGTTTAAAAGCCCTCACTCTTGACTAGAACTGTCCTCTTAGTGCATAGTGCAATGTAATCAAGTAAAGTATACAATACTTAAAACTCATTTTATTCTATTTGTTGTAATTGTACTATAATGCTTATACAAAAATAACAGTGTACTTCACAATAATTATTTAATAGCAAAGGTAAACACTGCTGAGTAGGGATTCAGAATTCCAGACAAAAAAGCAATTAAGGCATTCTCAGCTGGCAAACAGGAAAAATAATCAGTTATGAATCTGATTAATAAACTACAAATAGAGTATAGCTGAAACTGAAAGTGACAAGGATAGATTCTGGAACTAATTATAGGGCCCTTGAGGTCCTGAGGTACGCCCAATAAAATCTCTCACACAAATCAACTACACAGTCATATATTACTGGCAAAGCATTTGACAGAACACGCTGGTGGCCATTTAAGACATAAAGAACAAGGGATTACTCTCAGAGTCTATGGCATAAAAGTAATTTTTGTTCTTATATTAGCTTGTTTCATTTTCTGTAGTGGGAACCATATTATACTCAACTGAATACCACACTGGACTGTTTCTAAACTTTAAGTATGGCAGCTGTACTTGAGCTACAGTGTACAGACAACCATACACTAAAATACTGAAAGCATACCTGGTTCAGTTCCTCATCATTAGCAACTGCCAGGAGGATGTGTCTGGGAGCAATTCTTCCCTTTTTGTTGTCTCTTGCTGCATTCCCTGCTAGCTCTAATATTTCAGCTGCAAACACATTGGGGGCAAAAATCAGCTATAGAAAAACTAGAAATCTAGCAAAATTACAATGCAAGCTTTCGTCAGGGAATAATCAAGCATCATGTTCCCCAACCCAGAAACTGATGTATAACAACACCTTTCTGATCAACTTCTCCCGTAATCCTGGAAGGCAGGGAAGGCAATAAAAAGGGGGTAGTTCACCAGGGTTATCCCCTTGTGGGCCACTGACAGTATATTTATCCGCGCATCCACAAGTATGGGCAATTGCAGTTCCCATTGGCTGGAAATAGCTATCTGTGGCCAACAGGAACTGTGATCCCCTATACCTGCAGAGGTGCAGATATATATGGCAGTGCAGGGATTCCCAGGGGCTAATCCTGGTAGACCAGATGAGGTCCATGGGCTGGTATTTTCTCACCCCTGCTGTAAGGTATTGCTTCCAGATGTGGGTTATTGTGATTTTTTGTTTGTTTGTTTTTGCTTTAAAGAGACAGTAACAAATAACTGAAACCCCAGTTTTGGTCTACTTAGAAATTATGCTTTTATGGTAGCAAATGTTCTCAGAAAAAGAAACTGCCTGACTTTCATTTACACTAAAGCTACTTTACGTGAACAATGACGTGTAAAGGAAAATTGGACTAAAAATCTTTTTATTGCAAATCTGCCACTTCTAACTGAAAACATAAAACAAAACAAGTCAATGTTTATGTAAATTTAGAAAACGTTGTTTGTGATCCTTTCCTACTTCTCTAAATGGACACTGTGAAAGCTAGGATGCTAAAAATTGGTTCATATAATTCTATATTGCTTTCTTCAAATCTCAAGTTAAAAAAAAGTTCTTTCAATAAATGTCAGTAGCTCAAAATTTACAAACACCCCTACAACAATAAAGGAGTGTGGGCATTCAACAGAAAAAACAAAAATCTAATAAAGAGAGTTCTGATGGTGAGGATTCTTAAGACTAGACAAGTAATAGTGCTGCTGGCAAAGACTGAACTGTATTGAAAGAATTAGCTGAAGGCCAGTAGAGCAGAACAGAAAGGAAACACTAAGGATCTAGATTGAGGGGCACTGACAATATTATGGTCTCCCACAATATTCTTGCCAGCAAGTTAAGGAAGTATGGATTGGATAAATGTACTGTAAGGTAGACAGAAAGCTGGCTAGACTGTTGGGCCCAACGGGTAGTGATCAAAGGCTAGATGTCAGGATGGCGGTCGGTTTCTAGCGGAGTGCCCCAAGGATCAGTTCTAGGGCTGGCTTTATGCAACATCTTTATTAATGACCTGGATGAGGGGCTCTGCCCTCAAGCGTATCTACCTCACCCCCTAGGTTAGTGTCATCCGCAAACTTGCTGAGGGTGCAATCCATCCCCACATCCAGGTCATTAATAAAGATATTGAACAAAACCGGTCCTAGAACTGAACCATGGGGCACTGCGCTAGAAACCGACCGCCAACCTGACATTGAGTTGTTGATCACTATCTGCTGGGCCTGGCCTTCTAGCAATCTTTCTATCCATCTTACAGCAGAACTAGAGAAGTGATTATTCCCCTTTATTCAGCTCTGGTGAGGCCACATCTGGAGTACTGTGTCTAGTTCTGGGCCCCCCACCCTAGAAAGGATGTGGACACAATGGAGAGGGTCCAGCGGAGGGCAACCAAAATGATTAGGGGGCTGGAGCACATGACCTACAAGGAGAGGCTGAGGGATTTGGGCTTAGTTAGTCTGCAGAAGAGAAGAGTGAGGGGGGGATTTGATAGCAGCCATCAACTTCCTGAAGGGAGTTTCCAGAGAGGATGGAGAGAGGCTGTTCTCAGTAGTGACAGATGGCAGAACAAGGAGCAATGGTCTCAAGTTATAGTGGGGGAGGTCTAGGTTGGATATTAGGAAAAACGATTTTACTAGGAGGATGGTGAAGCACTGGAATGGGTTACCTAGGGAGGTGGTACAATCTCCATCCCTCGAGGTTTTTAAGCCTCAGCTTGACAAAGCCCTGGTTGGGTTGATTTAGTTGGGATTGGTCCTGCTTTGGGCAGGGGGCTGGACTAGATGACTTCCTGAGGTCTCTTCCAGCCCTATGATTCTATGACCAATCAGTGTGAAGATTCATTTTACACAAGGAAGAATTTTGGTTTGGATACAAGTAGGTAACTTCAGAGATTCTGACTGTTGGTTTGCAAATCCCTTCCAGAAACTCCAAGGATTGATGGTCATTCACAATTAATGTGAAAAGTAGTTTCACTAGATCAGTGTTTCCCAATTTTATTTGGCCACAGAACCCTTTTAAACTCAAAAGAATTTTGTGGAACCCCTAATAACAGTCTTATATATGGAGCTGAAAAAGTAGACCACAAATAAGTAAGGATAATAATAAACAAATGCTAAGCAAGGTCATGAGATCAACACAAATGAAAACTAGTTTCAATAAAATTCATAAATGCTTAATATTTATTATTATTTTAATAACAACATGTTATTGTAATGGAATTTTCTCGCAGAACCCTTATTTTCACTTCGCGGAACCCCAGGGTTCCCCGGAACACCATTTGGGAAACACTGCACTAGATTTACAATAAGGTTTTAGGTGTGACCAACAATATCAGTTACCTTTTTTGTGACCTATCTATAGGAAACATACAGGCAGTAGGGATGTGAACTGGTCAACAAGTTGCTTCCCCCCACTAACTGCCTCTATCAGAAAGAGGCAGCAAGTGGGGGGTGGGAGGTGGGGAGAGGACAGGGTGCTTCAAAGTGGCAGCACTGCATGGAGCCCGGGGCCAGACCTCCGGCGCTATGCAGTGCTGCCAATTTGAAAGGCTGCACGTGGCGAAGCAGCAGCGCCATATGGAACCTGGGGCCAGGCTCCAAGTGCACTGCCACTTTGAAATGCCGTGTAGAGCCTGATGCTGGGCTCCTTGCAGTGTTTCAAGGCAGCAGCACTGCATGAAGCCCAGGGTCAGCTGAGTCTCCACTGGGGACTCAAAGGCAGAGGCACCGTTATGTACTAATCAAATAGTCGATACAAATTGCAGCGACTATTCGATTAGCCAATTAATCGAAATTTTACATCCCTAACAGGCAGATGTGATTTTTCTTTATTTGCTATAAAGTTTTTAATTATTTTAAATTCAATCAGTGTGATTCATTAACTTCTCAGATTTAACTTTGTATATAGTGACTATACCTTGGACAGATATCTTTACTAGTATGTTAATGGGGGTGGAAGTTGCCTTGTTGGGTATCTTTTTGCATTAAGCAAGCATTAAAATAATATTGGAATATTTTAAGAATGTTCAATGTCCCTTTCTTCTCTTGCTTTTTTCTTTTGTAACTGGGGTCCAAGTCACAACTGTATAAGTCCTTCATTGGTTAACATTGTACTTTTATTCTCATGGAAAACTTACTGGAAATCTATAGAAAACTACTTAGCTATAATCCAGGGACAATAGTAGAAAGCACAGGTGCTGCAAGTAGGGATGCTGCCACTTCTCCTCCTTTGACATTATTTCCATCATATACAGGGTTAATTGTTTTGTTGAAAGTTTCTCAGCACCCCTAATATAATTTTTTTTTCAGCACCTTAATAGGAGATTTAACAGTTAATACTGTAACCCTGTCCTCCAGTTTTTGCTACTACTTAGTGCACAAAATAAACTTACGCAGAAAAATATGAATGTTAAAGCTGCAAGAGTTGTTTGGAATGATTAGTAATAAGTTATGTAAACAATTATTAGTAGCTACTTAATAATATAAACTATTAAACACAACCTATATTAAAAGAACATTAATAAAGTTGTAAAATCAAGCACTCAGTAATTAGATGCTAGAATTAAGACTACCTGTGAGATCTTAATCTGTCCCCCTTGTGCATAGATATTCATCCCAGAGCAGTTATATCCTGTGCAATGAAGGAGACAGAAGAGCTATTGAACATTTAGTCTGCACAGGCAAAGTCAACCTTCTTTCTGGCATTTCCTAACTTCTGACTGCTTGAATTTGCAAATGTAATAATGTTCTTTTGATGCAGCTTTTCAATGTCTGATTTCCTTGTCTGTTACTTAAAGCAAACTAAAAACCTCTGTATATTTTTCCATGTGACATCGTACTGACACCACATGGGTCATCAGCACGGTTGGAACCCTTCAGTCCTTCAGATAGACACATGAGCTAATGAGTAATAGGTTGTCATCTTTCATGTGGACCAGCATATTAGAGGGAGAGGAGATACACTTAGCCAGTGGGTTTCAAAGTAGATAGACAGCAGAGCAATGGGGTCAGATGCTATAATTTTAGCTTCCATTCCAGTGCACAGGTGCTTATACTTCTTCTGTCACTGTTATAGTCCTGTCTCATTCTTATCCCTGGCTCTTTGCCCCATGCTATTGTCTTTGTCATCCAAATCTCCACTACTTAGATTCATAGTTCCAATCTCCTTTCCAGCCATTCTTAGTTCCTCCCTCCTAGTTCCCTTTCACTGTCTCTTTTCCTCCATTCCCCGTCACTCACTGGTTGCCAGTCTCTCTCATTGAGCTCTTCATCCAATCCCAATCTCCCCTGGATTCTTGTCCCACTGCCTTTGCCCAACCATTCTTATTTCACCCTCACCAACACTGCATCTTCATTTCAGAGCTGTCTCTCTTTCCTGACTAGTTCCTCACCCCAGTCTCATTCAGCCAGTTCCAGTTTCTCCACTTCTTCTGTCTGCTCTCAGAGCTCTTTCCTCCCCTGCCAAAAGGCTCCTAGTCCCAAACTGCCCCTCCCCATTATTTCCAGTTCATTTCCTGGCTCAACCAGTCTGAATCTCCTCCCAACTTCCATTCCCAATCTTTTTGCCCAGCTATTCCCAGCCTGCCTTCGTTCCCTCCAGCTCCTAGTCTCCTATCCTAACTAGTCCTAATCTCCTCCTACCCTTCCAATCCGAGTCTCACCAGATTGCTTGTCCCAGTATACAGTAGAACTCTATTTCTCTGACGTTCTATTACCTGTCGCCCCTTATTAACTGAAGAACCAGCGCACCCAGGTCCAGAAGTGGGCAATCTCTTGTGTAGCTGCTAGATGGTGCTACAGCCTGATACTTTCCCATTCTCTTAATTATCTGAATATTAGGTTATGTGATCTGATCCTGGTACCAATTAGATCAGATAAACAGATTTCTGCTGTACTTCTTCCCCCTTCTTCCCTCAGTCCATCTTTTGTTTCTTCTGTATTCAGCGCAGATCACTTCCTCCTCCATGAAGCCTGGGTACAGGAGAGACAGGCTCCTTGTTCTTAGTTTCACTACACAACTTCACCCTGGCCAGGAGCAGCGATTACAGGAAAAGTCCTTCTGAACCCCAGTAGCTCTGGGCAGTAGCAGGCTCAGTGAGGATAGACTCTTCAAGGATTTTAGCTGTTAAAAATCAAAGACCTTTCTACTGATCATATACAAACTGTTGGGGTTTTTTTCCCCCAAAGGCTTACAACTCGGCCGAATTTGGATAGATTTTCACAGGGACAACAAAAGGCACATTCCTGACATAAAGGTCTTCTTCTGCCAAATCTCAAGTATCTGCTCCAAAGCACTGGAGTATGTAAAAAAAAAAAGTCTCATGATTTTTAAAATAGGCACATTCCTCTCCCCTTGGAAATGGATGCATTATTTTGGCTGGAAAAAAAAATTAGCCAGAGACAGACCGACAGCATGGAAAACTTCAGCCTAAACAGTGAGTTTTCTGTTATAAGTCTTTTTTCATTTGCTTATAGCTTTAAAAAGTATCAGGCAGTCTTAATAATAATATCAGCCCCATCTAGAATTACTTATTTTGTGACAGGTTCATGGAGAAGTATCTAGTTTCCAAAGACATCCTGAAAACATCGATAGGATTCATATATGAGTATTGGGAATTACCACAGTAACAGCAGTAGAAATGATAGTATTCTCTCTTCATAAAGCTGTCTAAAAACCTCCCTTGCACAATGCACAGGAATTTAGGTTTGGAAACGCCAGTATCAATAAAGAGTAGATGTTTGTTTAATGTCTTAAACAAAAAGCTGAAATGGTATTCCTCTCTGTTGGATAGATGCATTATCTCTCAATTATTATTTATTTAATCTCAGTCTAATCAGCCTTCTTAAAATGTTCCTTTGTTTATTTTTGGTTACCAAATGAATTATAATCTATCTATTTAGTTGACTAGCTGATTATAATTGTTTTCTAAAATGCGATAGACCCATGTATATCAACTGCTCTCAAGAGAGTATTTTTAACTATCTTGAATTGACTAGTTGTCAAAAGAGCCAATATGTCAATTGCTCTAGCTCACAGGACAAGTATCTAGTAGTACATTATCACAGCTCACTCTAAGCCAGTGTTTCTCAACCTTTTTTTTTATAAAGTACTCCTTTAAAAAAATTAAGTACCCCTAGTACCTACAGTTTTCAGACACACAAATATTTTGTCTACCATTACAACACATTTGTTTAAAACAACTTAATCGTAGCCAGGCGGGTGATGAAATTTTTGAGTGTAAAAAGGGCAAAAATAATACAACGCTGTAAAACTTAAAACAAAAATTCAGTTTTCTCCAAATTTCAGTTGTGTTGATGTACCCCCTAGACTTCTCTTGAGTACCCCTAAGGGTACTCGTACCACTGATTGAGAAACACTGCTCTAAGCCACTCTGCCTTGCAAAGCTAGAAGCCCCTTGTGCAAGGTATGTTGCTAGCAATATACTCCTATTTCCTTGTGATGGCGGCCACAGATAAGGGCAGGATTAAATCTTTAGGAGAAAATCCCCAAGTGCCAAGCCCAAAAAACTCATCTGAGATTTGGGATCTCTCTTAAGAAGTGGTTAGTGAAGAAATCCTCCCCAGGCAGCATTGAGTCAGCAGAGCCATTGTGCAGTATTGATTGCAGCCTAACGACTACATCAACCTCAGAAGGCCCAAGGCAGCTGCTATGCAATGGGGGTGGGTTGAAGGATTCATGTAATAGTGGATCTTCTTGATCTCACTCTTCCCAATCCCCTTCTCATCCAGGCAAGTATCCCCTTAGAGTAGACCTATGCTTCATGCCACAGCGGACTAAGCACGCTCTGCAAGGTCTTCCTAAATCATGTCCGTGCCCTCATGTAGCATAACTGCACCACCGTAAGAGGTACTTTAGTACCTACAATGAGAAAGGAAATGCTGTTCCCTTAATATAGAAAATAGGACTGTGAAAATATGGGTTTATTTTGTATGCTCACTCAAAAGTCTACACTAAAAAGATTTTGGAGCAAACAACGGAATTGATAATATATTAGAAAATGAAAGAGACAAAAGCACAACCATTATTTCAGACTCTGAGTCTGTTTCTCTGGAGGCTGGCTCTTCTATCCATGGCATTTCATTCTTATTTGTCTGGATTTATTATTTCTTGTAGTTGGATGAGCTGTAGGTGAACAGAAATGCTTGATTGTATTTGCATCATGCAAACAATACCGTATTTTCCGGCGTATAAGGCTACTGGGCGTATAAGACGACCCCCTAATTTTTTAGTTAAAAGATAGGGTTTCGTCTTATACCCCAGCGCCCCTCCGCCTCCCCGGCTTTGCTCCCGGTGTCCCTGGTCTGCTGGAGACGGTCTCCAGCAG